ATGCATGGGTGCTCGTCATCCCTCTTGTCTTTCCTACTTTCCATCCCCTTATCCCTGGTCTCTCTCCTGCACGATCACCCCTCTTCACCTCTCGCCCCCCCCCAATCTTCACGATTACACCAGAAAATCCCACTGCGCTTTTCAAGAGGAACTTCTCACGGTCGTTTGGTTGGATAGAAGCGCGCCTTCCCTTATGTCTTTCTCTCCACCATGTCCCTTATCCCCAGTGAAGCACCATTTTTGCGAAAAAAAAATTAAAAATCACCTGAAAGGTTCATTTAAGTTGTTGGAAAGTTGGAATCCCATACAATCCACCACTAACAGCAGAATATCCGAGTATTCCAGGTGTTTAAGGAATTTATGTCCTTTTCCACGATTCTGAGCTGCTCCTTCTATTAATCCTAAACAAAGCATTGCGAGACAATATTGCAAATTTACGCTCAAATCGTGAGAACCTACTTCTACTGCACAAGAGTTACCTGGTAAATCGGCAAGAGATAATGTGAAGTCGTCTTCTATGCCTTTTCTCCCCTTCTCTGCAGTCCAGAATGCCAGTTGTGGTTTGGTCTGGAAGAGACAGAGCTTAGAATGGTAAGAAGCACTATGGGCGCTGTTTGTCGACGGGGGGGGGGGCATTTTGTACTACCATTGCTTCCCTAGTTCCGGTTTACAAATCTCACTCTGGTAAAACTTGTGAACGCTTGTGAAGCTGGAGCAAGATCGTCTAGCCACCATCCTAAACGTGTCAACTCGAGAAAAGGCTACCTAGATGGGTTGGCACAATCTATGGAAAGCAGATGCCCCCCGTTCGACAAGGATGCCCCCCCTTCGACAAACTGCGCCAACAACATGTGTCGTTTTTTTGAGATGCGCCACGCCATCGACCTCCATTCACGAGTGCAATGACACTGGAAAGGAGGTGTCGCAGTGATAACGGACTATCATATCCGCGTGATAGAAAGATAATGATAGGAAGATAAAACATTGAAAAGACGTAGGCAAAACGTACCGTAGTGAAAGGGTAAGGTGCAATTTTAATGCTTTTCCGTGGCACAATCGCTTTCATCAAAGTCGATTTGCCAGCATTTGGGAATCCAACGAGTCCCACATTGGGGCGGAGTTTCAGATGAAGTGACATATTGAATTGTTCTCCTTGTTCGCCTCTGAAACTTGTATAAGTCGGAGTCGTGTTTGGGATTAAAAGGATAAAGGATAAAGTCTTCGCCGTTGATCAATCCCTTTGTGGGATGCGGCACGCATTCTACTTCCATTCAGAATCGTAGTGGCTTATTGAATGCGATGTGGCCTATACAATGACTTGCGGGGCCAGCCGATGTACAAGTCAGTGTTTCCTCCCAGACGAATCTGGTACCAATTTACCGTCCCCGGAGGGTAGAAGGCTTGGTTGGCCTGGGCGGGTCGACCCGGGATTCGAACCCGGCGCCGCGCGAGTGGTAAGCGCGCCACTTGTCACTACACCACCTCCGCCTCCGTGTTTGGGATTGCCACTTAAAATCACGATGACGCGAGCCGACGCGTCGTCGCGAAGTCTGAACGCTGCTCTTGACCCCACAGGAGTGCCTTCAGTCTTGATGCTTAAAATTGCTTACTTGAAATCATTCCTTGCATTTCCACCACAACCTCCTCTTGCTATCAAATATTTCTGGAACGGCCTGGTACATCTTGCAAGTAGCACATTTCGGTCGTCATCAACAGCCTCAACTCCGACAGGAACATCGAAGCACTGCAAACGAACCAATCAGAAGGGGAAGAGCACGCTGGCAGGATGAGCGGAGACGGTCAATCATCCCCTATCCCGTTCATGTGCATCTCCCTCATAGACTGCAACAAGAAGGCAAGCGTTAGAAATGAAGTACTACAGTTGACTGTCTCCGCCCATAGTATCATCGTGAACTGCGCCCTTTCTTTATTACTCAATGAATCTTGTAGAAGACATGCTTATATTTTCTATGTCAAATCCATCAATGGTCTGTTTGTATCTAATGAAAGTCTGCGACTGGAAACTGGCTTGAATATTTGGAGCCCTTATCTCTTCACTGCCATATGCCTGTTCAACGCCACTGGTCCATTGCGACGAGTGCTCCGCCCCTTTGATCATTCTTACGAAAAGTCCAAGCAACAGTTGCAAAAGTCGTGTCGCATCAGTGGGAATGGGTTGGGCGCGGCACCAACCTGCTCTCCACCAAATGTTGAAGCAAGAAAGCGACACCGATAGGTGGAAACGGACTGGAGCCACGCCAAACCCAGCGCCAGCTAATGCAGCGAACAAGCAAGATAATACTTTTCTGCGACGTCGCGTATGCCAGGATCTTTTCCATGGGATAGGGGGAAAAAGCCGTGTAGTGAGCCAATGGCCCAACAGCACCATATGTGACAAGTGCGTATGTCACGGCGATGTAGGTTGGTGTGATGTCTCATCACATGTCATTCAAGGCGCATGTATGTGTTATAGAGTGAAATAACGCGATAGACACACATCTAGCCGCGTTGGATACATCGCCATGACATACACAGCTATTACACATGGTGCTGTTGGACCGTCTGCTAACTTAGCAACTTGTTCTCCGCTATTACGAGAGAAAATTCTATGCATACGACGCTCCATAGACATTCGAGGGTACTGCATGGAAGCCGCCAAGCTGATAGGGTAAAAGGCGGCATTGGCGTAATGGATAGCGCACTTGCACGGAAAGCGTGAGGTGCGGGGTTCAAATCCCGCCTGATGTCAAACTTCTGCCCACTCAAAATCCTTCTGATTACTCCCGGAGCGCAATCTGCGGCGTTAAAGAGAAACAGTATAGTGAAGCAGCTTCACGGACAGTTATGGGGGGGACCTCATTTCAGGTGGTCTGTATTCGACCGTCACTTGTTCCTTACCAGTTCTTTGACAGGAAGAAAGCGTGGCTAGATCGCCCCTAGTTCCTCGTTTCCTTTATCAACTCATTTTCGTATTTCACATAAACGCAGCGCAAGTTTGCCGTCGGAGGGGGGGGGGGCATTTTGCACTTTCGTTGCTTCACTAGTTCTGGTTTACAAGTCTCACTCTGTGAAAGCTATGAACTCCTGTGAAGCTGGAGCAAGCTCGTCAAGCCATCATGGTAGTAAAACCTGTCAATTCGAGAACAGGCTGTCTAGATGGATGGACACGTCGATGGGAAGTCGTTAAAATGCAAAATGCTCCCACCCCACCCCCCCCCCCCCGCCCCGCGTCCGTGCAAGCAGTACCACTCGCAATTTCCAGAGAGTCATGACGTCATGCTCGCGAAGGAAATTCTCGCCAAGTACATTTACGCAAGTGTCTTCATCCGTCGTCGCCAACGCAGCTTTCCACCTTCTACATAAGAGAGTACGCCGCTCACGGCTTTCAAACTCATTTTTTGCCACTCAGGCGTTTTCCTGATGTCGGAGAAGCCATCGGCAGGTGCCCTGGACGTAGACACTTCTCCGTTTCCCTCCAACGACCGATGCGTACTGCGAGCTTTGATATAGTTCTCGAAAAAAGTCTAATGTGAGCGACAGAAAAAATGAGGAATTCCTTGAAGTTGGCGTAAGGCTTCAAAGGGTAGGGGATATATTGCTGAATGATCCGTAGCCCTGTGCCGTGAACACGGACACAGAGAAAAGTTGCAAACGTGCGAGCACTGACCGCATCACTTCTATGTGACTCCGCCGCCGCACAAAAAATGTTCTAGGGTACTCTACATGGCCGCAAAAGTGTATTTTTCTGGGCCCCATTGCCGCCGGTAGGTGTGCCTACGAGCCGGAAAATAATCTGGAAAGTTTTCATGCAGACTAGATCGAGTACCCCCCCCGCCCGCCAATGAAAGTTCTATGATAAGGCGTCAAAGATGTTTGGAGAACCACCAACGACAGTAAGCCGCAGGAAACACCCGAAGAACCCTGAAAAGAGTTACGAGGAGCGAGCCTTGTCTGAATAGTTAAAGCTCAAGTTCCCCACCGTGATAAGCCGTGTCCTCCGGAACCAGCGCTTTAACTTCGTATCGTAACTGTCCTGGCTCGACAATACCCCAATCGTAGTTTGATTCAGCTTATTGCGAACTTCCTTGACTGTGGCTCGTAACAGTAGAAGAATAAGCGCATACACTGAAAAGCCGAATGACACGATATGATGCCAGCGATATGATTGGCCTGACGTTCTGTCATGAAGTATTGAAAAGGAAGAGGTCATGACAATCGTATTTTCGCCGCTCGCTCGCGCCGGCGACGGGCGCGGCGTTTCTTGTGCCTATCCCTAGCAACTGGAAGCATCAGGCATTTCAAATGTGTACTAACGACATCGTAACAGCTGTGGCCAGTTTTCGGCTTATATCATTGTCTACTGTCGCCGATCCGTAGCAACTACAAACATCATCATAACGAGCGCGACGTCGCATGCGAGGTGCGGCAAATTACGATTGTCTTGTCACATATCCACTGGAGAACAGGGCACATCGTTGTTGGGGAATCGCCAACAGGGGGAGGGGTGTATTTGGCCACCAAGAGAGGGGGGTCGTATTTGGACTGAGGAAAATATTTTGATGGTTGAATTTTCTCGCTCCACGGACGTTGCACAAGAGGGGGGTCGTTATTTAAGCCATTTTTGCTTAGTTTCTACCCTTCTAGGAGAGCTGGTTGACTTTTCGTGATTTTCCTGTTTCATGCCTAGTATATACCCCACTCTCCCCTACCCCATTCGACAGCAAAATTTTTTGGAAAAAGTAGGGAAGTTTTCGGGAAATTTCGGGAAAATTAGCAAGAATTTGGGGAATCTGAGAGCTGTAGAAGGGCGAGTCGTACCAACTCCTCAAAAAAGGAAGGAGGGTTCGTATGGACTCGACTAAAATCCCCACCAATTGATGTGCCGCTGCTGCGAGGATAGGGGGCCTCAACGCAAAACCAATACAACATGGTATTAGGTTGTCCGGAAAGTTCTTAGCGTTTTGTGCACCTAATTTTGTACATTCACTGCTGATTAAAAACTCATTCTGCCTTGCTTCTCAGTAGCACATCCTGTAGAGAATTTCTTGCGCTATCTGATGGTATAATTGCCGTTTCACAGCATGCTGAAAACGCTTCTCTTTTTTTCAAGATTTTTTCAAGCATGTGAAAAGAGCACTTCGGACGATTTTTTTCTTCGGCTATAAATTGGGGCAATCCGCAATCGAAACAGCTCAACAAATTAACCAGGTGTGGAGGCCCAATAGTGCTAGAGAAAGCACTGTGCCGCAATGGCTCAACAAATGTCGTTCTGGAAATTTCAGCCTTGAAGGTGAACCTCATAGCGATCGACCTAAAGCAATTCTGACGAGGATTTTGAGGGGATTTCGGAGGCTGATCTATCCCAAACAGTTCGAGAGATAGCAGAAGAGCTAGGCGTTGGCAAATCCACTGTTGCAGATGGTCTGGAACGCATTGGGAAGGTGAAAAAACTCGACAATTGGGTGCCCCACAATCGGAGTGACCGGCAGGAATCGGCACGTCTCGAGGTTCCTTCTTCACTGCTTTTGCGCAAAAGAATTGACCCGTTTTTGAACGGATTTGTCACCTGTGATGAAAAATGGATCATGTATGATAACAGGAGACGTTCCGGACAGTGGTTGGATTTGGAGGAACCACCGAGGTAATTTTCAAAGCCGAACCCTCGCGAAAAAAAAATTCTGGTCAGGTTTGGTGGTCATCGGCTGTTGTAATCCACTATAACTTTTCATCACCAGGCCAAACCATCACAGCAGAACCCTACTGTGAACAAACCGACCAAATGTACCGAAAATATTGTCAGCTGCAGCCAACACTTATCAAAAGAAAGGGTCCGATTCTTTTGCATGACAACGCCCGCCCACACGTTTCACAAATCACTATCCATAAATTGAACGAATTGGGAGTTGAAGTTCTACCTCACCCACCATATTCTCTAGACCTTTCACCAACCGACTGTCACCTTTTCAGACATTTTCAGAACTTTCCTGCTGAGAAATACTTCATCAAACAGGACCAGGCAAAAAAGACCTTCGCAGATTTCGTGGATTCTCGACCACCCAGTTTTTTCTTTGATGGGATTTCTCGACTGCTGCCACATTGGCAAAAGTGTGCTGATTCGAATGGTGCTTATTTGGATTA